GGACGATGATAGCATTCTTAATAACTCCTCTGCAATAAGAGCGCTGACACCGTCCTACCGCGACATGATATCTGAAGATGACTGTACAGGGTGGCCCACGGTAGATGGTACCTTAGACGTATACGGAAAACGGTACATGGGATTATCCTGAAAATTTGGTTACTCTAATAAGCGTTTGTGATCTAACGATTCAAAATATTTTCAGCGATGCAGCGTTACCACTTTTACCAAAAAGTAGCATCATCTTTGTTATTTCAAATGGAACACCCTGTATTTCATTGCGTTTTTAGATTCTTCTCGAAGAGCTGATTTCATCAATGCATCACACTTGGGGTCTAGCAGGAATTATTACAGAGAGATATAGATTTACCAAAAAGTAGCATGATCTTTGTTATTTCAAATGGAACACCCTGTATTTTATTGCGTTTTTAGATTCTTCCCGAAGAGCTGATTTAATCAATGCATCACACTTGGGGTCTAGCAGGAATTTTTACAGAGATATAGGGTGTTCAAAATCGAGATTTTTCAATTTCAGGAATTTTTCATGTCGAAACTATTCATAATCGATCAAAACGGCTTACATGTCCCTATCTTAACTTTTGATTTACTATCTACTAACATTTAATTGGAACAGATACAGGGTGATCAAAATTCTGAATCTTGGACCATCTAACCTGAAAATCCACTCGAAATCTCATGATATGAGAAATCTTCAACATACCTGATGGGTGAAGCTATAATTCTTCAGATTTTTTTCAATCTCATTGCTGAGTAAAAATTCGTAATCATTCTATAACAAAAAAAATATATTTTGGATCGGGTAACCTTCGATATCAGAATCAATATTACCTATATAAAGAGTAGGGTTTCCAGGGAAATGTACTATAGCATTCATCAGAAACTTTTCTGATCATTTGAAGTTTCAAGTCCGAGTAACCGGAAAATTATTACAACCAGAAACACAGTATAATGGTACACCACAAGGCTCAATACTGAGCCTAACACTTTTCTTGATGCGGACGATTTGATAATTTTTTTTATCGCTTGGAGCGCACGAAAGGAAATTCCTATAATGTTCAAAAAACATCGTGCGTTCCTAGGGAGGATAGGGACAGGACATAGGTATTGGAATTTTCTTGAATTTCTGGAGATTGTATGTTGTTGGAAATACTTAATCAGGCAATGAATTCCAGAGCCTAGCCGTTCTATGGATGAAGGAGTTTTGATAAAGTGCTGCTCGACATCTTTCGAGGTTGACAACGAAAGGATGTGCTGACTGGGCTTGTCTAGTTCGTCTGACTGGTATTGCTAGTGAAGGGATGATAGCAGAGATTTCCGAAGAACATTTCCCGTGGAAGTACCGATATAGAAAAGTTCTACGGTGTTCCAATGACGTCAAAGAGGTAGTGATCAAATACATTCCCTCGAAACAAAATGTCAGGATTCAAATTGTGTCCAGAAAAAACAAAATGCATAATATTCTCCAAAAAAAAAAACAGCACTGCACCAGAACTAACATTGTAAAATGAAAATTTATAGTTTACCACCGATTTTTGAGAATGATATTTGTTCAACAGCTTAACTGGAAGTTACATATCAAGAAACTCGCTCTTTAGTGTTGAAAAAGACTCAACCTAATGAAATATCTGACACAGAAGCAATGGGGAGCAGAAGGATCGACCCTATACTATCTCTGTATAGAACTCTCATGCGTTCCAAATTTGATTATGGTTGTGCAGCATACGCATCCACCAAACCATCAACTCTGAAGACACTGGATACTCTTCACAATATAGCCATGCGAATCATATTAGGAGCATACAGAACTACACCCATCGAAAGCCTGGAATGCTGAGTCGGAAAACCTTCTCTACCACATCGAAGAAAACAATTAAGCCTATGCAGCCAGAATAGCTTCGCTCAAAAATATTCCAACATACAGCGATACAATAACAGCACGCTTCTATTCAGCATACCAACAACCGAGAACAGACCCACCTTCCTATGAGAGGGTTCGAAGATACCTGAGCCAATTATATATGGAAAACTCGATAGGCAGATCGATAAAACGGGAACTCCACAACATTCAGAATTCCAACAAACAAATGGTTTTCACTTGGGTCCCATCACATACAGGAATAAAAAGCTGACACCAGTTCACGAGAAGCAATCTGTAATACAAACAAGCAACCATTACAATACACTCCTGCTACTGATATGAAATCTTATATTAAGAAGATGATGCTGCACATTCAGAATGCTAAGTGGCAGACTTCGGAATCAAAACTTCGAGAATTAGATCTATGGAGAAATCGAACCAAATATCGGACCATTTTTTTTTTATCGATTGGAGCGCACGAAAGGGAATCCCTATAATGTTCAAAGAACATCGTGCGTTCCTAGGGAGGATAGGGACAGGAGGTAGGTATTGGATTTTTTTTTGAATTTTTGGAGATTATATGTTGTTGGGAATACTTCCACAGGCAATGAATTCCAGAGCCTAGCCGTTCTATGGATGAAGGAGTCTTGATAAAGTGCTGTTCGACATCTTTCGAGGTTGACAACGAAAGGATGTGCTGACTGGGCTTGTCTAGTTCGTCTGATTGGTATTGCTAGTGAAGGGATGATTGCAGAGATTTCCGAAGAACATTTCCCGTGGAAGTATCGATAGAAAAGTGAAAGGTCGCCGACCTTTCTGCGGTGTTCCAATTATGTCAAAGAGTGAGTGAGTGTGGCGTCACCCACCAGGCGAATGGCTCTTCTCTGGATGGAATCTAAGAGCATCAGCGTATGTTTTGGGGCTGAACCCCATATGTGGGAACAGTATTCTAGAACAGGCCGTATCTGCGCTTTGTAGATCATGAGAAGCTGTTGAGGTGTAAAGTAGCTTTTCGCACGGAACAAGAATCCGAGTTTTTGTGAAGCAGCTTTTGCGATGGATCTGACATGATTATCCCATGAAAGAGTGTTGCTGATGGAAATACCGAGCATAGATATGGTGGGCTTGGTGGGGATGGTGGAGCCAGACATTACAATATCGGGCATACTGAGTTCCGCCTTTCTAGAGAAAATGCAGGCTCGAGTTTTGGTGGCGTTGAATTCAACTAGGTTGTTCGTTCCCCAGGCTGTGATTTCAGCAAGATCTTCATTGACAGCATTGGCCTGCCTGCGCCGTGAGTTCTTAGTTTCCTGGGAAGAAATGGGAATTCTGGAAGAGAACGCAGTATGGAGGGTACTATCATCTGCAAAGCTGTGGATGGGGCAAGTTGTAACTCCCAACAGATCATTGATATGAAGCAGGAATAATGTTGGTGCCAAAATTGATCCTTGTGTAACGCCGGAATTGATGCCAATGGTATCAGACGATACACCGTCCACCACCACGTGAAGCGATCTGCCTGAAAAAAAATTCGATAAGAGATGGCATAGCTGAGGTGGTAAGCCGTATGATGGTAGTTTGTGGAGGAGTCCTTCGTGGAACTACCATTCATTTAAAAGAAGAAAACTGGTGATAATGACTCGACTCCGCTTGGGACATACTAAACTTACACACGAATACTTATTGATAACGAGGCAAATGGAACCAATGTGTGATATCTGTGAAGTTCTATCAACAGTGAAACATAGAATAGTGCAATGTCCGAAGTTCCAGATCGATAGAAACATGATCAAAATATCCTTCAACTTAAAAGAAATGATAGACTATAGTAATATTGTAAACGAAGTGTAATATATCAACTCCACCGCTAATGACCCAAAGATAGAAGCGGTTTTTTGCTAATTAAAAAAAAACTTACCTATATGTATGGTTGAATGAGACGCAGTGGTAACTTTACTGAACAGAATATTTTGAATCACCCATATCGAAGGGAGAAGATCATACATAATTATAACTCGACAAACCATATCCCCAAAATCTACTCAACTGTAAAAACATTTACGATCATACGACCTATAATTATAAATTTTCGAGCAAAACGATCATCTATCTACTCACCTAACTAAAATGGCATTTAGTGGACGAATATGTACCATGGTAATGTAATGTAATTGAAATCCTTTTCGGAATTTCGTCAGATTCGCTACCGAATCAATCAATTCAATATTTTATAGGTATTTTTTTTATATATAGTTTCGATTTCAAATTGATTTGGTTTCAATTTGAATTTGTTTATTTCCAATTTGAATGTGTGAAATCCATTCTGAATCATTTCGTCCCAATTTAAAGATGATTATTCCCATCTTGAAAATGATTATATAGTTTCAATTTGAAGTTGAAAAGGAATAGACTTGCATAGATACAGGAGTTAGGGATATAATTATTATTCGACTCGTTTGAATTAGTTTTGAGTACTTATACCTATTTTAAATCCAAACAATGTTAGTAGATCCAACTACTTGAAGGTTGATTAGAGATAAGTACCTCTTCAATATTGTTGATGGAGCTTGTTGATCCAACATTCATTATCAATCTTTCGATCACGCTCTTTTCCTTTTTATTTCAGAGGATCAGTTGGGTAAAAGCTTTGTCGTAGACGAGATTTGTAGTATGTAGATTGTTAATTGGCTGTTGATGAAGTTGGTACGTTGATGAATCGGGACGTTGATGAGTTTGGCCGTTATATTGGGTCGTTGGTGATTGGGGTGTTGCTGAAATGGACGCATGGATGATCTGTGTGATGTTTATGTAATGATTACGTTAATGTATTGGGTGGTTAATGAATTAGGTCGTTGATGAGTTGAATCTTGATGATGAAATCGATAAGTTGATGACTTGGGTCGTAGGGAGTTATTAAATGTTGAGGAGAAGGAAAGGGTTGATGATTTGGATCGTTGATGTATAAGGTTATGATGTGCAGGGTGCTTGATGAATAAGGTATAGTTGTTGATGAGTTAACCGTTGATCAAATGTGAATTGGCAAGTTGTCCGTAGATCATAAGCTGGGTTGACCAGCACGTTTGGTACTATAGGTTTAAAATCAAGTATTGCGCATCACGTCTATTAACGCTTTCTCACAATTGATCATATTGAGTAGGAAATTACTATAATACCGTCACGGCGTCATCAGTCACCATAAGTAAATATTTGGAATATGGGGATATTTATAAAGAATCACTCGCAAAAATAGCTGGCACGAATCTTTTGGCCGATTTCTGTCCAAAACTTGGATCCTATGGAGCACATGCCCCACCACTAGTACAGTGTCTGCTCGCCTGCTCCCGCTTCATTTAACGGCGGCGGTTGTGAAACATTCATTTTAAGTGTAGCTTTTGCCGATACAAGACTGGTGACGGGAAGTGATTGTGATTTTTTTACCAAAAATGCCGAAGAAAAACGGAAATGCCGCTCTCCTACATGGGGCTTGCAAGGTAAATTGATTATTCCCTTCGATAGAGCGCCAACAATTTGAAATTAGATCCGAACGCGCTTGACAGATTTTGCCCGGCATCCTGGACATCTCCCGCAACTATTCAAATTTTCATTGAATAAAATGTTATGTCTTCTAAAATCATCGATTCATGTTTCGCTATCTATTTATAAATCGCTTTCTAATCGTTGCATGGAAGAAAGTTGTCGTCCTTCTTATTTGAGAATGATTTATTCCTAAAAAGCTTCTATCCATTATCTATTGTTGAAGTAGTTTTGTTTATTGAAAGACTGAAAAATTGATTGTGAAATCTGTAATCGTGGTAAACCGAATATGATTTGCCACGAAACACATCCTTGAGGTACGCCATGGCTATATCACATATTTCCGACTATGATAAAGCCGTTATCCATATCGTTATGAATGATTTTAATAAAATTAGTACCTTTGAAGAAAATCATCCAAAATTCGGTGCTGTAAGTCCAGAATTTTTGTGAAAAAACTTGACTTTATTAGGGAGAATGTAATTTCGCGTCATGGTATGACGATGGGTGTCGATCCGTATATTGTGTGACGTAATGGAAAATTTCCAGTCGTGCTGGTGGCACTCCGGTTTATAGTTTTGTATAGCGCTAGCTAATCTATGTTTCTATGAGTGCCTTTTTATCAGGCATCTTTATGTTTATCAACATTTTTCACTGGTACCTTTATTATTAGCTTTATCTAAAGGTTCGTTAATTTTTCGGTGCGTTTCCTGTTCTGATGAAACTTATCAATTTATTGGCATTGAAGTTGACTGATTATATTGGTAGTACTACCTACATTACTTCGCAAATTCTCAAGTAAATACCTACTTTTTATAAGAATTTCCAAAGTTATTAAAGCGAAGAAATAAGAACGTAGGTACCTACTCAATATTATATTCAACAATTTGATAGGATAAAGGTTTTATGCTGGGTTTATAGATTCAACTAAACTAAGAATTAAATAACTAACAACTATAAACTTAAAAAGTTGAATACAAGGAAACATCTATGAGGGTTTATACATTTACATCTGTCATTTAAATTAAGAATTAAGAATTACAAAGTTGGCCAACTTTCAACTTAACAACTAAGAATTAGGAAATTCTGGAAACAGAACATGAAGATTGGATTTGTCATTGTTTAAGTGGAGTTTGGTGATATTAAATTGGAATATTTTTTAAAGATTCATGAATTGTGGAGACCAAAATCACTTTTTAACATCATTTTGATATTTAATTAGAAGACATTTCACTTTTAATTCTTAATTAATATCAGATATGTATAAACACTCTCATGATTATTAATTGTTGATTGTTAATTGTTAATTCTAAATTGTTAGTTTGAATGAATCTATAAACCCAGCAATATCTACTTGATGGAACTGATGGATCAGGATCACATCAGGAAATTAAGAAAAGGAGTGAAGTACTTCTTCATTTCCATCAGCTATAAGCATATGAACTCGGATATGAATTAGTCCTTATTTGAAATGTTGAAAATCTTTCTAGATTATTACTTTCATAATATAGGTAGGATGGGTTGATGGTGTTGTGGCCTCGGTTGTGGCCATTTTTCACTTCTAACGTTATTTTATTATATTGGAATCGTTTTGTGATTTGTTTCTCATGTTTTTAGTCTCAATAATCTTCTGATGTATAATTTTCCTTATATCTTCTATTCAATTTTGTATATTTTCTTACTCCAAAGTTTTCAACCTAATAATTATATTCTAGTCGAAATGTCTCTCTTTTGTCAAAATATATAGTATTTCAGGGTTTTTAAGTCATATATCATATGACAAAGAACATAGTTTGAATAATTTCGATTTTGGATTAGGTATTCAAACAATTAATTCGTCTAGACTTGTGTAGATACAGGTATTATACATATTATTATTTGATACTTGTTCAAATTATTTTTGAGTAGGTACTTACCGAGGTACTTACTTAGCTTTGACCCCAAACAATTCCCATAGTTTTACTTATTGAAACGTTAATAATACATACAATATTGTTGATAGGTTTTGTTGATCCAACATTCATTATCAATCCTGTGATCACGCTTCTTCTGGTTCTTTTACACTTTCATCATTCTTCTTCCGGTTTTCTTTTGCTCCCTGTGATATACCGATTTTACCAAATCAGTATCCCCATTACCTTTAGAGCAAATTATCTGTTCATTCAGTCAGTTGATTCTTTCACACTAGATTTCACATGACACGTTGCCTAAATAGCCTGTATATTTCCTTATATACAGGGTGAGAGTGATCCAATACTTCATTGATTATAGATGCATATATATGTCAAGAATCTGAAGGAAAAAACTGGAAATTTCTAAAAAGCACATTAGAATTGTTCATCACAATAAATACTGAAGAAATGAAAAATATTATTGATTGGTAGTTTATATTCTGTAACAGGAAACTTCGGGCTCTCATAAGAATATGTAGATAATGAGAATAATGAAATATTGTTCATGAATTCAACTGATTTTTTTAATATCAAATAATACAGGCACCAGGAATGGCGCCATCATCAAATTCAAGATAGAGATGATAATAATAGTAATTTGATAGTTTTCGAAAAAATCAGGAAAAAAATATCATTAGAAGATGTTTTCATTAAATAGGTCACTGACATTCAAAAATATTATTGATCAATATTCATTTGTTATTGTGACATATTCCTCATGAAAAATGTGAAATACTCGTGAACACGTATATCCTGGATTATTTTTAAATAGTATCCAAACACATTGTATAAATAACTTTGTATTTGGGTGTGGGTATTTAACAAAAATAGAATAAGATACCTACACATTTTTATATTTAATTTTTTTGTTTTTATGAGTACATTTTTGGATTTTATCTTTTCACGAGAATTACCAAAGTTGGCAAGATTTTTGAAAAACAATCGCTGAAACACGTCAACTTATTTTTCGAATCGCACTTTTTTAAAGACCTTTTCCATTATATACAGGGTGAACTCGGGGTGAACATTATCGATGCTTATTCTTCATGGTTCACCGCACTTTTTACGAAATAATACCGGGTGACCAGTTATATTTTGACCCATTTCAAATGCTCATAACTCTGAAACCATTCAAGTTATCGTTCTGCGGTTTGGACTAGTCTATTTTGATGTTTTTTAAGTTTTTTTTGGCGTGTTCATCTTCTCACTTGAACTTCCGGTTCTACCGGAAACAAACAAGCAATAATCCAGGTATAGTGCAACTTTTTTATTTCATTGAATCACCCTGTATATTTTTGCACATTCAGAAAGAGTGGTATTTTCTCTATCTAACAATGTATCACAAGTTATGTTCTCCTAGATAACTATTAGAGTTATAACTCTTTGAAACAACTACTGCTTGTGGAATGGTTTAATGAGATTATGCAATGTTATCAAAGTTGCCCTATACCTGAATAAAGGCTTGTTTGTTTCTGGTAGAGCCGGAAGTTCAGGTGAGAAGGTGAACCAGTCAAAAAACTTGAAGAATATCAAAATAGAGGAGTCCAAACCGCACAACGATAATTTGAATAGTTTCGGAGATATGAGCAGTTGAAATGGGTCAGAATATAACTGGTCACCCGGTACTATTTGAATTATTCATGAAATTCGGGATATGCTGCGGAAAGAGTATTTCAAACCACCTAACTTGTTCCATTTTTGATGAATTTAAGAGCTAGTGGCTATAGTTATGAACCGTACTGTATACACGGTTTTTATTTGACGAAATTTCAATATACTCGGCTTTGTCGAAAACTATATATTAAAATAGGAATTTCCATTGCAAATTAGGCATAAAATTTTGCAGACAATGGATTCATATATATCCAAAGGACCTTGAAAGTATAATGAGTATAAGTAGGTACTCTGTAGGTAGTCACCAGTGGCGTAATTAAGGGAAGGGTCCATGGGGTCTGGACCCCCCTCCCAGAGCTGTCTGAAAAACCGATAAAATCCGGTGAACAATGAAAAAATAGACATGAGTATAGGAAATATCACGAGAATTTCATTTGGAATTTATTAGAACCTTCCGAACGAAAATCGTAGGTTAGTTGTACCTATTGTCATTGGAAACGTACGATTGTAGTTGTGGATAGATGAAGAAAATTAGAAGAAAACCATCAATTTTTTGTGGCCATTCCTCACGACTGCAACATGTGTACAAGTTTTTTATTGAAACATCCATGGGGAAGACCACTGAGGGAAGAAATCCGTGCAAACCTCTTTCAATCGACGACTCATGATTTACGTGTTATGTACAATCAATATTATGAGTTTAAGTTAAAGGGAATCGAATGTATATCGTTTTGAAATCAGCATATTTCATTCGATATTTCAAAGAGCCAAATATGATGGTGGAGCCGTGACGTATTAGTCCCGAACTGTAGCTATCTCTCTCTGATGCCTTGCCATTCTGCAGTGTTGCAGTGTGATTGGTCAGCTCAAGGACAATAGGCGTGTTGGGACTAATACGTCGCACCAGTCACACCAATCAATTGACACCATTTCAAATGGCGCAGGAATTGTGTGTTTTGAAATGGACACATTCAAATTTATTTTTTTCATTGTCTTAGCATGAATGAAAAAATTCAAAATTAATTCACTGGTAGTTTTTCAGTATGGAGTGCACGATATAGTCTTTTCAAAAAATCGGTGGTCTCCCCCATTCAAAATTCGATGTAAATATTCTTCAAAATATGACTTTCTCCATATAAACATGTGTCTAGAAATGCACCTCCTCCTAGCTTTCTCCACTGTGAGATTAAAAAAAAAAAGATTATCTAATATAACGGATAACATCTTCTGAAAATTGGCATGCTCTTGTCTTTTTGGATACTCATCTATTTTCTTTCGCTTTAAAAATGATGTAAACCGAGTTTTGAGGAAGGTATGGAGGGGGTCCACCCTTTTGATGGCCCAAATTTTATGTTACAAAAGAGAAACTATCTGACTTTGAATTGCATGAT